TTCCCGATTCCCCTCCTATGTGCTCCTATGGTAAGTTGGGCTTTGCCAGTCCCCCAACATTAGCTCTTACTACATTGTTCCATAATTTTGCCTTCCACTATTTTTAAATATTAGGAATTAGTTAATACCTAAAGGTTCAAAGAATAATACAGGGAGACCTTTGTCCACCACAGACAAAGCTTCATCAGCACAATTGACGGTCCTGGATTTTCTTTTCCATTTGCACCCTCCTCTTTCCCCATCCTGAATTTAATGCACACCTTCCCATGCATGTTTTTACACTCTTAGCGCTTATGAGTAATTGCCTCTTTATTTTTCCATCTCCCCCACTGTTATGGAATGAATGTTTGTGTCCCCTCAAGTTCACATGTTGAAGCCCTAACACCCAGGGTGGTTGCGTTTCGAGACGGGGCCCCTAAGAACGCTAAATAAGGTTGTAAGAGTGGGGCCCTGATTCAACAGAATGAATGTTCTTAGAAGAAGAGACACCAGAGAGCTCACTTTTTCTCTCTGTCTCAACCCTTGCACATGTGCAAAAAGGCCATGTAAGGACAGGTGAGAAGGCAGCCATTTACAAGCCAGGAGAAAAGGCTGACCCAGCTGGATCTTAATCTGGGATTTCCAAGCTTCAGAACTGTGAGAAAATAAATGTTTGTTGTTTAAGCCACTCTGCCTGTGGTATTTTGTTACAGCAGCCCGAACTGACTAATACACCCACCATGCTCGATGTGAACTTGGTGAGGCCAGGGAGCATGGAGGTTCATCTCCGTATCTGTAGAGCCCCGCACCGTGTCTGCCACATGAGAGCTCATCGAAGACTTGTTGAATGAAGTCACTGCAGGAGCAAAGCAGGTGTCCTAGGGCCCATTCCCTGAGAGCAGGGTGTTCTCTGCTGTGCCATGATGCAGGTTCTATTCAAGCTGCTGCTGAGACCAGGGTCTGAGTCAGCTCCCAACCAAGGAAACTGAGAAGGAAGAGAAAGGCGTTCCCAAAAAAGATGTGGAGCGAGTGGTGGCATCTTAGGAAAAAGTTGAAGTCACTTTGTCAATCAATCAAATGTTTACTAAGAACCTACTTAACAGGCATTTGGTGTTGAACAGCCTCCATTTCCATAAGGCAATCAAAACAGAACAAAGGCCACGGGGTCCAAAGATGCTCCAGGAATGAGCAAGCACAATGCATTTGCCTCTTTTAGGGGCGTGTCCTTGGTTCCGACATGTGGGAGTATCCGTGGCACTTCAAGTGGAGAATATGAGACCGGAGAGCTCACCTTCACTTATAAAACAAAGCGCATCCTTAGCGCATCCTCAGCGCGGCCTGGACATGATAGCACCCGCTCTCGTAAACCCTTGAGCAATGATAAGGGATTTCACTTCTCAAGTCCTTGCTCTGACTTTTAAGGTTCTCCAAAGTGAGGAGGCAGCAGCCTCAAGGAGCTGGCTTCTAGTCCCTTGCTAGGCATGCAACACATGCTCTCAACAGGATGGGTGAGACAGAACCTTCTGTGATACAGGCTATCACCCATTCTTTTAAAATCTGTTTTTAAAATCACAGCACTATTTGGGGCACTGAAAAGACTGCCATAAAGGCACACCGCACAATCTTGTTTTAAAGAAGCACAAAGCCTATTGTAGAATAGAAAGAAGTCCGCATGCCATTCCTGTACACGCCAATTTGGGCGTCGGGGAAATTCAGAGGAGGGAGCACAGGGAAGGTAGGCCTGCCTGGGCCTAAAAGATGGGATGGGATTTGGCAAGTCTTACTGGGTCCTCTCACACTGGCCCTCTCCCAGAGAGTGGATTCACAGCCACTGATTGCATGCTAACAGACAGAGGGGGAGCTCCTGATCAGTGTTGAGAAGGACTAGGGAATCCCCATGGTCTGCCTCAGAGACCAGCTAAGAAACGAAAACTGAACACTCCCAGGCCAAAGTGCACCATGTCCACGCAACCAGAGTTGGAGGGGTCGGGAAGGACAGTAAGAAGAGGAAAAGGGTCTGGGTTGGGTACCACCACTTAGCATCTAGCTGAGACGGCAGAGATTAGAATCGGGAGCAGCCCTTTATCTCCCTGACGACATGGTGCATCTACCACAAGTTGTCAGGTCTTGCCCTGGAGACTGTGGACACTCATATTTGGAACCTTCTATAAGGGCCTATGCCAGCTGGAGAAGCAAGAAAATCCTTGAGGATAATGAGGAATATCCGGGGAAGAAAGCCTGGAGCTTACATGGTCCAATTCCGCTATTTTTTAGACGGGCATCCAAGAACCAGGGAGAGGAAGTGACTTGACCAGGGTCACATGGTCAGCTATAGCAGAGGCAAGGCTGAAACATGGGTCTTCTGCCTCTAAGACCATTTTTTTCTTAGAAGCACCTGACACATGAAAATGGGCACCAGGAGGAAGCTTCTGGGGTAGTTCCAAACTGAAGTTGCTCTGCCCCTCCTGACCAACACCCTGCCCAGATATAACCCATGAAAGTCCTTCCCACCTAGTGCAAGAGATTGCTGATATTCCTAAAAGCCAGTGGGCTTCACATGCCAATGATAAGAGCAGCCAAAACCTGTGGGCTAGAGGGGAAGTTCAGGGAGGGCCTCTCGCGTCCCTAACAGGGAATTTGGAATAACAGAGAGTGGTTAAGCAGTGGTCAGGATGCCATGAGAAAGTCCTGCACTTCAGAGTCTCAGATGCCAAAGTTTAGGTATCTCCGAGGTGATCCAATCTCTTCACTTTACACTTGAGGAAACTGAGGCCCAGAGAAGAGAGGCAATTTATCCAAGGTCATATAGGGAACTGGTAAAGAGCTAAGCTCACTGCATAACTCTGAGGATAGGAAAAGCTACCTACTTGTCCATCTCTCTTCCAGCCCTATGCAAACTTGGATTTTCTTCCCTTGTTTTAGGCATAGCCTCATGTCATACTTGGTCTTTGTTGTAACTATAGAAAACAGGGGTGTAATTTAACCTTAACTTTTTCTATACCTTAAACTCCCTGGGAACAGGAATCACCTTGTATTAGTCAGGGTTGAAGCAAGCAAGACCCCTCTAGGTATTTTAAACAAAAGGAATTTGACAGAGGGAGCCAGTCATATAGGTGATGGAAGAGCAAAGAAGTCAAACAAGGGCTGGTAGGGTCACCCAGAGATTAGTACCAGCAGGAAGTTGTCATCATCCCTAGAGCCAGAGGGACACAGGGAGAAGGTAGTTTTACCAGAAACCAGAAACTAGGGCAGGATCTGGAGCCGAGGTGCGGATTACCCATCAGGTACTAGCTGGGAATACCACTGGAAACAGGGAGAGGAAAGAAACATCCGAGTGATGGGAAAATATGTATCATACAAACAGTACCCAAAAAGGAAAGCCTATGCCAATATCAAACAAAGATAGATTTTAAGATAAAAATTACTTAGATAAAGGAGGACATTTTATAATGATAAAAGGATCAGTACATCAAGAAGACATACTAAGTAAGCATATAGGCACCTATACAACAGAGCCCAAGAAAATATCCAAAGCAAACATTGACAGAATTGAAGAAAGAAATAAGAAATACACACAATTTAACAATCATAGTGAAAGACTCCAATACCCTTTAAATAACGGATCCAACTAGGTAATAGATCAACGAGGAAATAGAAGACTTGAACAACACTGTGAAGAAACTGGACCTAACAGATATACCTTTATAGAATACTTCACCCAACATTAGCAGAATACACATTCTTCTCAGGTGTACATAGAACATTCTACAGGATAGACCATATGTTAGGACATAAAAAAAACTCAATACATTTTTAAAAATTGGGATCACACGAAGTACATTCTTTGACCACAGTCAATAACAGGAGGAAATTTGAAGAATTCACAACACACTCACTCCTAAATAATCAGTGGGTCAAAGAAGACTCACAAAGGAAATTAGAAAATGCTTTCTGAGATGAATGAAGATGAAAACACAACATATCAAAACCTATGAGATGTAGCTAAGCAGTGCTTAGAGCAGCGGTTCTCAACCTGTGGGTCGCAACCCCTTTGGCGGTTGAACGACCCTTTCACAGGAGTCACCTCTAAGACCATCCTGCATATCAGATATTTACATGACGATTCATAACAGTAGCAACATTACAGTTAAGAAGTAGCAACGAAAATAATTTTATGGTTGGGTCACAACATGAGGAACTGTATTTAAAGGGCCAGAAGGTTGAGAACCACTGGCTTAGAGAGAACTGTATAGCTATAAATGCCTATATTCATGAAAAAAAAGAAAGGTCTCAATAAAGAACCCACTCTTTCAACTTAAGAAATCAGAAAAAGCAAACTAAACCTAAATCAGGCGTAAGGGAGGAAATAACAAAAGACTAGAACGGAAATAGATGAACTAGAGAATTTTGGAAAGAAGGAGAAAACCAATAAAACCAACAGCTGGTAAGGTAAAGGATCAGCAAAATTGACAACCCTTCCAGTAGACTTACCCTGATACCAAAAGCACACAAACGCATCACAAGAAAATAAAACTACGTTTGGGCCTATCCCTTCTCTTCTACTGTCCATCACCTGTCAGAGCCTCTTTGGTCAAACGCACCCAGAAGCCAGAGGGCAAAGCTGTTTGGGAAATGTAGTTCCCTGTGACACGGAGCAGGGCAAGGAAAGGATGGAGACATGGCTCTCACACTTTCACTGGGTTCTGATTCCCCTGCACATGGTATTCGGTCCATACATATTTGTTGAATCAATAAATGGCCCCTCTTCCCCTGCCCTGGGCTGGGCCTTTTTTGATCTGAAGGGCTGCAGAGGGGGCTTTTTGAATGTAAATGACTCATGATTCACGATCCTATGACCAGCATGTGGGCTGGCACTCGGTCACATCTCACACCCCTGTGTCCCTGAAAGTGCCTGTGAGGCTGCCCTAGTGGGAGGAGCAGGTGTGGGAGGGGCAGGGAAGAGGGTGGCTCTTCTCACAACTTAAAAGGGGCTCATACCACTTCCTCCCCAGACAGGGGAGCACAAGCCCGGGCCCAGCCTTCCTGTGTGGTTTCTGCTGCCCTGAGAGTGTCATGGACTTGGGTGAGTGGG